AACAGGAAACAAAAACAGAAAGTGCTGGAGAAACTCAGAAGGTCTGGAAACATTTGTGGAGAAAAAAACAGGATTAAAATTTCAAGTCCACTCTGATGAAGGGTCACTGGATTCAAAATGTTAATTCTATTTTTCTTTCCACAGATACTGCCAGACCTGCTGAGTTTCACCAGCACTTTGTTTTTGAATAGCATTTAGTATAAACAATAATCATAAGCAGAGTGCAGCATCAATTTTAATTTTATAGATTAGCAGACCACAAATCACATATTTTGTTTACTCGGGTACTTCCACCATCTGCAATCCGACCCCACTACCAAAGATGTTTTTCCCTCCCCACCCTTATCTGCTTTCCGGAGGGACCACCCACTCCGTGACTCCCTTGTCCGCTCAACACTCCCCACCAGCCCACCATACCCGGCACTTTTCCTTGCAACTGCAGGAAGTGCTACACCTGCCCCTACACCTCCCCCCTCACCCCCATCCCAGGCCCCAAGAAAACCTTCCACATCAAACAGATGTTCACCTGCACATCTGCTAATGTGGTATACTGTATCCGCTGCTCCCGATGTGGCCTGCTCTAGATCGGGGAAACCAAGCGGAGGCTTGGACACCACTTTGTGGAACACCTATGCTCGGTTCGCGTTTTTTTAACAAGGCTACAATATATTAACATATTTGATGCACATATTTACCTTAAAGTATCTATCACACAACTCTCATTACCATTTTCAAGTATAAATTCCGATATTCACATTTGCAATGGAAACTGTATTGCAAACCAGTTGTAATTATAATAGTTCTCCAGTGGTGGCACTGGATCATCTCAGTCATGTTATCTGTCAGTTCTTTGATCTGTAGTGCAAGGAATTTTCTACAGTACAATCATATTTCTGTTTACTCCATTATTTTATCTATAGAATGTATTGTAAAATGAATGTATTATTTAAAAATAACAATCAAGTATAATATTTAAAAATGAGAATTGAATTGCATCCAAGCTTGCTGCAAAAATTATATTCCACTGTTTGCATCCCAACAATTACATTTGGTCTTAACTCCCATAAGCATACTAAATTGTATATATGCACATTAATAATGTATACAAACCATTCCTCATTTGTCAAGTAAATTTAGGCATAAACAATAATGCAGACAATGTGCATGTTAGTGGTTCTGTAATTGTTGTACAGTATCTGTACCTTGTCTTACCTTGTGTGTGTACCAACTTCCAACTCTGCCTGTCCAATGGTTTGTTTTAATTGTTCACTGAAATAAGAATGGCTATCACATATTTTGTTGCATTAAAACACACACAGTGTTTATACATGAGATAGTGGGAACTGCCAATGCTGGAGAATCTGAGATAACAAGGTGTAGAGCTGGATGAACACAGCAGGCCAAGCAGCATCAGAGGAGCAGAAAAGCTGACGTCTCTGGCAACCGCCCGGAAACCGATATCCATTTCAAGCCGACTGACTCCCACAGCTACCAAGAGTACACCTCCTCTCACCCAACTTCCTGCAAAAATGCCATCCCCTATTCAAAATTCCTTCAGCTCCGTCGCATCTGCTCCTGAGATGAGGCATTCCACTCCCAGACATCCTAGATGTCCTCGTTTTTCAAGGACTGCAACTTCCTCTCCACAGTGGTCGAAAATGCCCTCGACCGTGTTTCTCGCATTTCCTGCAACTCATCCCTCACACCCCCTCTCCGAAATAACAACCAAAACAGAATCCCCCTCGTCCTCACATACCACCCCACCAACCTCCGGATCCAACGCATCATCCTCCGACACTTCCACCATCTGCAATCCGACCCCACTACCAAAGATGTTTTTCCCTCCCCACCCTTATCTGCTTTCCGGAGGGACCACTCTCTCCGTGACTCCCTTGTCCGGTCAACACTCCCCACCAGCCCACCATACCCGGCACTTTTCCTTGCAACTGCAGGAAGTGCTACACCTGCCCCTACACCTCCCCCCTCACCCCCATCCCAGGCCCCAAGAAAACCTTCCACATCAAACAGATGTTCACCTGCACATCTGCTAATGTGGTATACTGTATCCGCTGCTCCCGATGTGGCCTGCTCTAGATCGGGGAAACCAAGCGGAGGCTTGGACACCATTTTGTGGAACACCTATGCTCGGTTCGCGACAAACGACTGCACCTCCCAGTCATGAGCCACTTCAACTTCCCCTCCCATTCCTTAGATGACATGTCCATCCTGGACCTCCTGCAGTACCACAACGATGCCACCCGAAGGTTGCAGGAACAGCACCTCATATTTTGCTTGGGAACCCTGCAGCCCAATGGTATCAATGTGGACTTCACAAGCTTCAAAGTCTCCCCTCCCCCAACCGCATCCCAAAACCAGCCCAGCTCGTCCCCGCCTCCCAAACCTGTCCGTCCTTTCTCCCACCTATCCACTCCTCCCACCTCAAGACCCACGCCCATCTCCTACCTACCAGCCTCATCCCGCCCCCTTGACCTGTCCGTCTTCCCTGGATTGACCTACCCCGACCCTAACTCCCCACCTATACTCACCTTTATTGGCTCCATCCCCGC